ATTTATAAAAATAAGCGTACTTGGCTAACCCAGGTATCATGGATCTCATCTATTCTTCACTCACTTTTGGCGGGGTTCGGCCTCACAATCTCTGATGTTACAGTGTGATACTGGCGAATGTCTCTCATTAGTATGTTCTTCGGCATGCGCTAATCGTTCTCTAAAATGCATGAGATTTGGTTCTTGAATGGAAGCCTCACATGGGACTAGGCTTCATAATTGTTGTGCCTACTTCCATTTCTAATGAAAATGTTTGGTGAAGAGATTTGAAGGTCGATTTCACCAGAAGACGACGGCGGATTCCTCTTGACCAGCTGTTGATTGGCTTTATTGGAAGATTCATGTTGAGACTGTTACCGTGGTAATCTATTCGATTTCGCTGAAAAGATGCTAAGCTTTTGTCCTTCATGTGACGAGCATCATCAGAGCAAGATATCATCATCACAACCGAATTCAAGCTAACGAGTCAAGAAAAATTACCTGCAAATCCCTTAAATAAGGTATATATACTCTATATTTGGTCTCTTTGATAATGTATAAAGTGATTTAGTTAGTTATGTCAACCTCGTAGCCTATGAGGCACACATACATACAGAGTATATATACCGCTTTTTAGGGATTATCCTGAGTTTTCCTGACTTGTTAGCTTGAATTTGGTTGTGATGATGATACCTTGCTCTGATGATGCTCGTCATATAACGGACTTAAGCTATGAACATTTTTTACCGGAATCGCAGGAGATTACCTCGAAAACAGCGTAAGCATGAAAGCATGAATGAAACAAGAGATTCCTCGAAACCCAAATTTATTTGACTAGGCTTCAGTCCCCCGAGGCCAAACAGTAGCTGCCTCCTGAAGCAGTGTCGGTTGGGACGAGAGCATCATTCATCTGTTTGACTGATCGCATCCACGCCTCCGAATGCATTGGGCATACTTGCCTGTGTGTTGGTGATACAGCTGGAGGCGGTCTTCATCTGTTTGGTACCCTTTATCGCCTCCTCTTGTACGCCCACTTACAGTAGGTTTATTAGCATTTATTACAACGGACTCACTTTCCTGCTGGACAGACTGAAGCTGCATTCGCCAGATGTGTTTAAGGCCAGAGAGTTATTGACAGTCAACTTCGCCGCATGACTACATTTGTGCTGTCCTCAAGGGCCAAGCATGTGGCCGGGTCGGACAGGATATCCGGGACCTGGGAACCGGATCTAAAGCGAATTGCGACCAGCTCTTTATCCACAACCTCTGCGGTCTGGTGAATAGTTCCCGGGCTCATTTGAAGGTGATATAAGTCTGAAGCTGATCCTTTCCTGTTGCCCAGCCATCGTTTTGTGGTCCTTCTTATTTTGGTTCTACCTCTTTTCCACCCCATCTTCAGCCACCTCAGGCGCCTCAAGTCAACGTGTGAGTACGCACTCCATAGCCAAGTGGCCTGGGGCAAGGTTACCCCGACCATTTCCGCCTGGTCACTTCTCTTCGGTACCCTAAAGAGGCACAAGAGCAACCAGAAAACCTGCCTTCAGTCAAGTCTACTGACCGATTGGCGGAATTGCAGGATAAAGAAAAGAGCCCCAATGCCACAGTGTCACTGAGCTGTTCCATCGAAGCGGTTTATGATGGATTACTCAACGTTTGGCAAGGTTAAAACCTAAGCTAAATGCAAGTCAAAAGTATTTTTATTCCATTGTGGGAAACTCAATTATTAACAAGAGCCTTAGTAAGGGTTAATTCCATAGTATATCGAAATTTATGGTGAAAATATACACCTTCATGTCAGCAAAGTCTTCAAAACAGGAAGTGAATCGGTTGAATGGTTTTGGCTGCATGTGATTAATCACTTTAGTTAATAACATCTTCTACTGAGGGAGATTATGTTATGTTTAGTTTTGGCTGTGGTCAACCGGACCTTTTGGACAGTCGGGCCTGCCAATGGCCCAAGCCCTATCTTAAGATTGACTTTTAAAGGTTAGCACAAGGCTCCAAAGAGGGTCATGGTCGGAGGTCTCAGTCCCGTCCGGAGATCAGCCTTACTGGACCCTGCTTGGCAACCTCATCCAACTTCTGGGGCTGGACCAACAAAGTTCAGACTAAGAGCCTCCGGAAACCGATTTTGCTCGGCCAGACAGGAACGGAATGAATATACAATTTAGTCTCACTGGCCTATCCATTTTTTGCTTTCGAACCCCGGCGACTGACAACCGAACGTCACTGATCAC